GGGATGGCAGGGATTGAACCAGGTTTGCAATGTGCAAGGCAAGCACCCTCCCCACCATACTATTGCTCTGGCCATTCATTACGCACTTCAACTGTTTTGTTGTCACAGGTACTTCTGAAAAAATACACATTCAAAAAGAAGACAATTGCCAACGTCCCCTCTGGAGATCAAATCAATGTTTTGATTTGTCTCTTTCATACTGATCCTTTTTGGTCGAATTAGAACAACCTCTCAAACATTAGTTAATAGCCCACACTTCCTGTTTACAATGTGCCATGTATATTTTTAAAGTTTTTGTTTTTAAATCCAATTGACTCAAGAATAAGTCTAAATGTAAATTTGCTTTGCTCAACAAGTTTTTAGTAATTAGATTTGCATGATCTTCAGAAGGATAAAAGTTCCTTGAGAGCTGGTCTATGGAATGGAGTTTTCCAGGTGGGATAGGGGGGTGGAGAACACGGAAGCTAAGGTGGAAGGAAGTAGACACTTGGGTGGGGGGTGGCAGCGTTGGAATGCTGGACGCGTGAAACTCTAGCACAAATGGTGCTGCAAATCACAGTGCCTCAAATTTAAAAAAAATTTTGAAGAAGAACAGAGTTTCATCTCATAGTCACCGCCTTGTTCATTCACCCAGAGGCCCAGCTTTACAGATTCACAACAAAATCTCAGAGGAGAGGCAAGCCACTCCGCAAACATTCACAGGGACAATGGTCTTCTGATGGGAAACTCCAGGGCACCCTTGGGAGGGGAGTGGACCAAGTCCCTGCCCTGCTGAAATCCTGCCAGTCACACCCACACCCCACAGCTGCCGCCATGCCAACCGTCAACTCCATGGTGCCATGACTCATCTCTGCAGAAACCACAAATGGAAGAAAATTCCAGGTACACTGGTTTTCAGGTGGAGAACTCTGAAAACTTCTCGAAGTGGAGACAGGCAGCCTCTCCCTAATGCCCTGCACCTCGAGAAGCCCCCACAGTCACACCCACCACACACAGACACCACCATGTAAACCCTCCAGCTTAGTTCTACAGATCCTGGAGTTCTGGACACCTCCAAATTTCACAATACTGACACCCCAGTAGAAGCACAGCAAATTCAATGGGAAATAAGCCAATTAAGCTCAACAAAAACAATAACACAGAAGGCTCAACTAGCAACGAACAGCTTAGTAAACCCTCAAACAAGGATTTAATGACCCCATCATGAGATATAACAATTTTCACAAATTTTCTTTTAATTGATATTTTTTGACAATTTTTTTAATAACTCCATTATATAAAAAAGTCTCCCTAACAAGTACTTAGGTTTAACATATCAAATATATGGTTTAAAAATACTTAGCATCATTTATATAAATATATATTTATGTATGATATAGTATATGTTAATGCCACATATATCATTCAATAGGGTCAGATATTTTCATAATTCCATCAGCCATTTAGTTGTAATAAGCAATATACAATAAATTATTTTATGCCTGTTAAGGGGGTGGGTTTAGTGGATGGTTGGGAAAACGGGGATAACTGGAGGGAAAATTACTCTGGTGGAGGGATTGGTGTTGCAATATTGAATGCCCTTAACAATTGGTATGATGAACAACTTTGTAAGCCAGGGTGCTTTAATAAAGTAAATAAATAGTTTATTTATCATTATTATATTTTATTGTTAATTTTTTTTGCTTTTTGGGTCACATCTGGCAATGGACAGGGGTTTCTCCTGGCTCTGCACTCAGGAATTACTCCTGGCGGTGCTCGGTGGACCATATGGGATGCTGGGAATCAAACCCAGGTTGGACTCGTGCAAGGCAAATGCCCTGCCCGCTGTGCTATTGCTCCAGCCCCCCAAGTTTATTTTTTAAAAAAGAAAAATAAAGAACAGGAAGAAAAAGATAAAGAATGACAAAAGTTGTTTCATGTTGTTCCCCCTTTTTTTAAAAAAAAAAATCTATTTTCCACACCTTAAGGAATTTTTTTTAATCCTATGTCTTCAACATTCTAAGTCCCCAGCTAGAACTACATATGAAAATTATAGCATGCTTCACTAGATTAGTCATGTTTCAGAAGGGAGCTGATTCATAAAGAAATTCTGGGTCATGAAACACAAAACGGAAAGTCACTGGGTTGTTGCCCTGGCCTCCTGATAGCCCCACTGAGCCTGGTCCCCCACTGAGCCTGGTCCCCCTGCAGCCTTCTGACACTCATCCTCCCCACTGCCCAGAACACTCTGACCCCAAACACCATATCCTCTGCTCAGGCTTACTCACTGCTCAAATGCCATCCTTATCAGAACCACGCCCCTCGATCATCCTATCAAAAATAGCATCTCTCGGTCCCAATGCATCTGTCCCTGCTCATTCTTTGCTGAAGCTCTTGTTAATTGTGCCTTTCCGGTTAGAACATCACGTCCAAAGGCACAGGGGCCAGATCTCTGTGGGCCATGGCTGTTCCCTTCCCTGCTAGGTCCTGACACATTTCATTTCCATGAATAAATATTTGCTGGCAGTATCTGTAACCATCAGCCTCCTCTGGAGACAGGCAGTATGAGCTGGTATTTAGGGAGACTGGTTTTAGGGGGAATCTGGCAACACCAGCCCCAGGGATCTCTTCTTGGGGGGACAGTGGTGCAGGGATATGCAAATATAGCAGGTCAGATGACTGCGTTCTCTGAACAGGGTTCTCATTCCTTCTCGTTCTGACCACCTTCAGAATGGATTGTTTCTTCTATCTGAACACTGCCTTAAATCTAATAATCCTTGCACCATATCATCTGCCCAGCCACGGCTCTCCATGGGGAAGACGGTCAGTGATTTCTTCCTTGTTGTCCTTAATACATATTTGTCACAAGCAACCAAATTCCCATGATTCCATTATCTATGAGAAACTCCTCGGCCTGTCAATGAGCACATTTTGGAAACATCTATCGGAAAAGGAGAAGGAACAAGGCAGCGTCAGAACCGAGACTGTCATTGGCTGTTTCTGCCCTCAGTGGCACAAATCCCTCTATACCTGCCACCCCCCCCCCAGGTAAATCTAGACCTTGACCTTGATCTGACCTTCAATATTTGGACTGACCTTGAACATTAAAACTAGGTATTCACTCTCCCTCTCAGTCTCTGCCAAGTTGCCCATACTGTGAATTACTGCCCCCACACTATTTTCCTTTACACATGTTATCTGTTTTCACTCAATTTTTTCTTCTCTTAATAGCAAACGTCAGGCCCCATTGGAGCATAATAATGAACCATCAGAACTCCTAAATAAATGGAAAGAACCAGGCATTTATCTTGCCTCCCCCCCCCCCTTTTTAAACAGGAATAACGTCACCAGGAAAACCAGGCAAGAAATGAGGGGAAAGTTCTCCTAGAAATGCATCCCAACTAATAAACAAAGAAAAAATGACTGAATTACAGTATCACCTTAATGAATTAATGGAGCAAGATGCCGAACAAGGGCGCCTGGAAGCCATCCATGGAGAGAGACGGCAGACACTGTGTGTGCGTCTGAGAAACACACCAGCTCCTTCAGGCTTTCCACAGGGAGGGCACCTGAGTCTGCCGGAGATTCCAGGGCCAGCTACCAATTTGCAGAAGCAGAGAGAATAAGAGAAATGTGCAGAGGGTGCGGGCCGACTGTGTAATCAGCAAGTCCCAGACCAAAAATGTCGTGAGAGAAACAGCCCCAAATCTCCAGCAGATAAATCTCCAGCAGATAAAAGAACAGAAGAGAAGGAGGAGAAACTCCTTATATTAGAAGGCACAGTCAAGGTTTTTTTTTTTTTTAATGGGAAATTAACACATTGGAGACTGGTCAAACCTGAATGCAAAAACTCATGAAGACATCCAGCTACCTTTGGAAGAAACCAAGGTTCTAATGCAGAGAAGCTTCTAGAAAGGCCGGCAAAAGTTTCATTCTTGACCTGCTGGGTGCTGGCATAAGGCACTTGACTTACTTAACTTTATTTAACTTTATAATAATACTCATTCTTTCCACTGTGTGTGAGAGAGCGAGCTTCTCTCATCTCTCTAAATTTAAGAATGAAGCAAAACAATGGCCTAGATGCTACTGCTAACTAGTATTCTCTTTCTCTCTCTCTCTCTCTCCCTTCCTCCCTCCCTTCTTCCCTCCCTCCCTCCCTCTCTCTCCATAGATGTACAGGGCCGGCTTGCACCAGACTGGAGTTATCTCCTTGAGTCACTCGGAAGGACTTGAAGAGACTGAGAGAATGGACAGTCAATAAAAGTCACTCAAGTGAACACACAACTCAAGTCACTGTCACTGTCCATCCAGATGTCTGCTCCTCGCAAACTCTACAGGGAAGCAAAGATCACTTCGGCAGCACCTGATCACCCAGCAAGTCCCTGACAAGAGGCTGCTGGCCAAAAGTCCCCGGAAGGAAATGGTATTCTCACAGGCCTCAAATGTTCCCCATGGCTGGTGGTTAGAATACAGTGCAGGGGACCAGCGACAATTGCTCATTCGCCTCAAACAAGACCCACGACCTCTCTGAGGGCTGTGCCATCAGGTCCCCTGTGGCATGGTTTTCTAACTATCCACCTCTCTCTGTACCAAGACCTACATGTCCCAGACACACAAATGTTACAACCCTACTCTGGGCTGGGGGAACAGTATTCCTGGCCCAGGTCAATGGCAGGTGTGTGACTAACCCACATGGATGATGCCTTTACCAGATACCAGGCACTGTGTCCAACGCTCCTCTTAGGCCAGCTAGTTTCCTCCTGGCTTCAGAGTGCCTGGGACATAGTTATTGCATCCATTTTTCAGATGGGGAAACTGACGCCCAGAGAGGTTCTGTCCTTTGTGCAGCCAGCCCACTCAGCCAGAAAGTGACAGAGCCAGGATGCAAAGCCAGGTTTTGCTCATCCCCAGAGGTACCAACAGCAGAAACCCCAAGTGAAGTGGCCAAGCATCTCCCCACCAACCCCCGACACTCCTCCCCCCGCCCTTTGGCTTCCATAGTCCCTGCGCCGCCACAGTACCATAGTCTGGAAGCAGGAGTGCAGCTGGGTGAGGAACGGCGGCTTCCCAGGCAACGCCAGCACTCGCTTCTCCACCATGGTGCATTCCACGTCGTCGTCCTGGATGACCACATCCTTCTTCAGGATCTTCACTGCATAGAGCTCATCCGTGCCTTTGCGCTCGGAAAGCATGACCTGGAAGAGAGGAGGCATGTGAGGGCGCCAGGAAGCGGTGACCAGGGCTGGCCCAGCTCATGGCCCCGAGCCCCGTCCAGGTGCCCAGACACAGGGTTTCCCATGGACCTCACCATCGGAGCAGCTAGCCCGAGGCTCCTGAGCTCTGGGCCCACTGGGCCCTTGAGGTCCATCATGAACCAACCTCCTGTCCCCCCCTTGCTCCCTGATCTTGCCCACACTGGGGCAAGAATCTCTGTCTGTGCTGCTCGGCAGTGCAAACCCCAGAGCTTGCCAGGACCAAGGTCTGCCGTCAAGTCAATGCTGATAAATACTTGTTGGATAAAGAAACAAGTGATTCCGGGGTTGGAGCGATAGCACAGTGGGTAGGGCGTTTGCCTTGCACGCGGCCGACCCAGGTTCGACTCCCAGCATCCCATATGGTCCCCCGAGCACTGCCAGGAATAATTCCTGAGTACAGAACCAGGAGTAACCCCTGTGCAATGCCGGGTGTGACCCAAAAAGCAAAAGAACAAAAACAAAAACAAAGAAATGAGTGATTCCAAGAAAACCAAGTCTGGGGCATGTGGCTGCTGATCTGCTCCCTGATTTAATGTTCATCAAGGTCCTCTCGGCACCACGGAGACAGAATCCCAAGAGCCAGTACGTGTTCCGGCCTTGCACGCAAGAGGGGAGGAAACTCCTGGGACACTAATCCCAGGGGTGACTGACGCACCATTTCAGCATCCTCTTCCCTGCTCCTGGGCTCTCCTCCCTGTGGCCATGGTCCCAATCAGGGCAAGTGGCCCACGGCACATTACTTCCACGAAGACCATGCTAGAGGGAATGGCCACCTGCAGGGGTCACTCTCCACAAGCCTCTCTGGGGGTGCCCGGCAGGGTTTCTGTTGCCGGAGACCTAACCTGGCCTGGGGGCTGTAGGTAGGGAAGGCTTCCTGGAGGAGGGAGCGACCAGTGTAGAGTAAGTAAATACATCCTGTGTGCACTAGGCCAGACATTTTGCAGGCAACAATATCAATCTCCACTCCATTTTTGAGCGCTTATAACATGCCAGACAATTCAAGGCTTTCATTTCTTATTTATTTTGCACAAGACTCTCGAAGGTAGGCATAACCAAGAACCTTTTTTTTGACAGGAATTGAAGCTCGGGGAAGGTAAGTGAGCTTAATGCCACACATTCAGCTAGAGCCAGGGTGAGAATTTGAAGTCAGGTCTCTTTAACTTCCAATTCCCTGTCTAAAGACAGAGAATTTTATTTTTACTGGGGGGGGGGGGGGGCGGGGGACACATTTGGCAATACTCAAGGCTTACTCCAGGCTCTGTGCTCAGGGACTACTCCTGGCAGGGCTCCATTGATCCCTATGGGGTGCCGGGGATCAAACCCCAGTTGGCTGTGTGCAAGACAAGTGCCTGACCTGCTGTAGTATCGTACCCCCCTTGCCCCCACCAAGTTTCTGCCTTTACTTATTTTTGCTTTTTTTTTTTTGGTCACACCAAATGATGCACAGGGGTTACTCCTGGCTCATGCACTCAGGAATTACTCCTGGCGGTGCTTAGGGGGCCATATGGGATGCTGGGAATTGAACCTGCGTCGGTCGTGTGCAAGGCAAACGCCCTCCCCACTGTGCTATTGCTCCACGCCAAGTTTCTGCCTTTAGACTCACGTCTTGCTCTGAGCCACAGGAATTCCAGGTGGGCTGCACTCTTGGGCTTGGTCATGTGCTTATTTTTCAAGCAATTTTTAAAAAGACTTTAATGGAGTAAGGGCAACCAAGATGGGATTCCTTCTGCCTTCCAAATGGATCCCACCCAGGCCCTGGACAGCCATCCGGCTCATTCATCCTTTCACCTTCTGTTCGCTCATTCAGGAAATATTAATCACATGTCATGTGAGGCTCTGAGACAGGCACTGGCCAGAGGCCACTGACCTCAGGAAGTGGCACCAGTACGAACAATTCCCTCAGGTCACTGAGTACAAATGCCCTGCCTGACACACATGTGGAGCTCCAGGTGAGGTCCCCTGGGGGACAATAAAACAGGTGCTGGACCTGCTATACCAACAGGACGAGCTAGCAGCGTCCAGTCATAGGGACGAGAGCCCCCTCGGGACGCAACTACATGCATGTGCCACCCATGTCAGGACGTGTGAGACTCCCAACACCCAGCTCTCCGAAATCCAGCAAACAAGTGTCTTGGCAGAATCCAAGATTCCCACAGACGGAAAACAGCCACAGCTCCAAGTAGGTGGCAGGACAAAGACTAGACATCATTCAAGGGAAACGTGTGTGCTGGGGAGAGAGAGGCACTGTGGAAGCAGGGCTGTAGGCGACAAGGGCAGCCAGTCTCTGGGCAGCACTGTGCACCCTCTCATCTCACATCCACCCAAAGGCGCGGCCTGGCTGCCAGAACATTCCGTACTTGGCAGGCGAGGGAGCTGCCGCTTCAGCCAAATCAGTAATTTGCTCAGAGCTGCGCCTCTGGGAGTGGGCTTCCCCCAGGTCAGCATCTCTTAAGTCTAGACTGTGCAAAGCCCCACCTGAGTCTGGACCCCAACTTACCACCCCGCCCCGCAGGAGGCTGTGCCGACCACTAGTGTATCAGATGCTTTATGTTCATTCAGCTCTAGCTCCAAGCCTCCTTTCCCTTCCCACCTGTGGAGGCCAGGATAATTCCGAGGTCACAGATCCACCCATCACTTCCTTTCTCCAATTCTTCTTGGACTACTCACAAACCGATTTTTTGTTTTCTCGGTGAGAGGCGCCTGGCCTGGAGTCTTGCACGCCACGATTCCCGCTCATTAATTCACTGCTCTTTTTCTTAGATTAAAAAAAAAAACCAACTTGGGGCTGGAGCGATAGCACAGCAAGTAGGGTGTTTGCCTTGCATGTGGTCGACCCGGGTTCAATCCCCAGCATCCCATATGGTCCCTCGAGCACCACCAGGCGTGATTCCTGAGTGCAGAGGCCATTCCCGGCTCTGTTCACATGAGTGACTTTGTGCTTAGGAGGATCTGAACCAGGATTGGCTGCATGCAAGGGAAGTAAGGGCCCTACCCATTGTCCTATCTCTTTGACCTGAAAGGCCCTATCTTTTGCTCCTAGGAGGAATATTTTTTGCAGGCACGTGGAAACTGCAGTATGCCCACAAGCAGGACAGATGCTTCTCTCCTTCCGTGCAGTTAAGGGCCTGGGAAGGTCTCGCCTGCCCCACCTCTGCCCCTGGTGCACTGGCATGGGGGAGAGTAATCAGCAGGGACACCAGCAGTGCTGGTGGCCACACTCATTGTCTCACATGCTCCTGGAGCTCCCACTTCTGCAGATACCCACGGAGAGGGGGTGGGCTGTTTGCTCAGCTGTCCCTCCGTCTCCAGGGGAGGCTTCCAAACAGACTGAAAGGATGTGTTGAAGTGACATTCTTATCAAATCCCAGCCACATCTGTTACCCCAGCATCTTCTGGGAGAGCTGTGATGAACGGCAGCACTCAAGCGACAACCAGAGAAAGTGGAGAAAAGTAGCCCAGGGACTTCCAGCTGCAAAGTTTGTTGAGATGAACTTGACTGGCAACCCCACAAGATGCATGTGCCTGGAACCTGGCTCCCAAGCACTGGAGGGTGTAGCCTGATAGTTAAGGCCTGGATGTCATTGTCATAGGACTTGGGGTAAACTGTAAGCATGTCCACTGCTGCCTGGTCTTGGGATATTAGCCCCATTTCTGAGCCAGCCTTCTGCAACTCTGGGCCAGGGATCCCAGCAGTACTTGGTTTGTGATGGTATGGAGAGACGCAGTGGGTTAGTGCGTGCCTTATTTAAACACATGCCCGCACCAGATACCCTATTGAAAGCACGCGTGGCCAGCACCTGGGCGCTGTGCAAACCAGCATAGCTCAGCTGCAACCTGCAAACAGGAAGTGACCAGCTGCAACCAAGAATCAGAAATAGGAAGCGATCAGCTGCAACAAGGAAAAAAAGGAAATGGTTTCCTGTTTGGTCTCTCATAGTTCTGGAGGTTTCCAAACGGTTTCCTGTTTGGTCTCTCATAGTTCCAAAAGAGTCAAGTCAAGGTGTGGGATGCAGAAGGGATGATTGGTTTCTTCAAGAATATCTACAGATGAATGTATCTGATGTTTCTCTCCTGCCTTCTGCTGACAGCCCACAATCCTCAGCACCTGTGGTCTACAAACAGACAGACAGACAGACAGACAGACACACACACACACACACACACACACACACACACTGTGTCTTCACTGGCTTCTTCCCTGTCTTGGAATCTGCCAGAATGTTCTCTTCTACGCACACCAATTGTTAGGCTAGGAACTCCCTTTGTTCCAATCAGCTTCATCTTTGGGGTGGGGGTGGGGATGGAGGGAAGATTGGACCACACTCAGTGGTGCTCAGGGGCTATTCCTGACTCTTGTGCTCAGGAGTGAGCTCGGATGGTGCTCTAGAGATGCTATTCAATGCCCAGGGCTTGAGCTAGAGTGGACTGCATGCAAGGCAAGTGCTTTACCTCCTGCATTTTCTCTCCAGCCCTAGATGGCCATCACTTACCTTGATTTGACAACTGCAAAGACCCTGGGTCCAAAGAGGGCTGCCTCTATGAGGGCCAGCAGCTAAGACCCGAACATGAGCTTTAGGCATGCAAAGCATATCTCCCCATTACTGTGCAATGGTTCTCAGCAGCTTCCGCTTTTCAGAGTAAGGCCAAGACAGCTGCCGTGACTCAAGCACCCCAGCACCAATTCCCAGTTCTCAACCGCACATTTCACAGAGAATTTGAGGTGGCCACCAAGACTGTTACATGAACAAGCAGGGTTGAGGGAGAATGAATTCTACTCCAGGAAAAGCAGTGAAAGATGATTCTACAACAAAGAGTTACTGTGTGTGGTTACTCATTCACAAACACCTCCTCTCCTTTTCTTCCCCTGGAGGTCAGAGCAAGCAGATCCAAGAAGCCATCTCCAAGTTCTTATTTTCTAGAAGGAAAAATCATCCGTGGGA